GATTTACAGCATCCGCAGTTCTTTTGGTTTTTATCAAGATAATGATAAGGAGGACTTCACAGGGTTAACAAAGCTGTGTTTTATCTGTTGTATGCATTGACTCAGATTCTCGCTTCTACTTTGGTCCATCCCTTGACACTGTCTCTGTTTATGTAGAAATAACTAATGTTGTTGAATATTAGTTCATGGACAATGCATTTAATTGAAGAATGATTGGGGTCTTGCAGGTTAAATAGTGCTTTTCCTGGCAAATCCTTTACTTGTAAACCTAATGCTTTGATCTACATGGTGCATCATGTTGTAATTTCAATGAATGCAATATAGTGAGGTTTCCACTTGATTAAGTTGATTTTTTTTGGTGCAGTTTGCCTGAACGTGGTGGAACCCCTGCAAAAGATCACAAAATTTAAAGCACAAATTATGCTCGGTGGAAATAAATTTCAATCATTTGTGCTGGTTTGAAAAATATTGCGGTAGAAGCTAGATTTGACTGTAAAACTGGCCCCCTATCCAGGACAATTAATCACCATCGGGAGTTTCCACCAGCTGTATTAATTTGCAGAACTTTGAGGAGACTAAATGTTATGCAGATTTATTTGGTGCTGATACAGTAATGCAAATGTTTCAAAGGTTTTAAATGCATTTTTATTTCAAAGTTTATTTAAAAACCGTTCACTCTGTCCTTCTAAAATGTGGAAATGCCTCAATATATTTTCTAAAAAGGGAGTTGGTTAGCTCAGCTGGCAGGATGGCTTGTTTAGCAGTGCAAAGTGACACTAACAGCATGGGTTCAATTCCCACTCCAGCTGAGGTTACCATGATGATTCTGCCTTCACACTTCTCCTCTCCTCTCACCTGAGGTGCAGTGACCCTCAGATTGAACTCACCACCAGGTGTGTCTCTCTAATGAGAAAGCAGAACTATGGCAACTTTAACTATTTTTTCAGTCATTTAAAATTAGGTTACTTTTTTTTTGGAATAAATCTGTTGTCAGCTGCAATAATTGAACTGCAATACGCCACCACTTTTCAATATGTAAAAGAATATATTTAAAACATCCTTTTTCAGAAATACTTCAAAACATATGAATAATGTGACAGGCTGTGACCTATGACAGGCTTGGTGTTCGGAGATATGTAAATAATCTTGAGCTGAAACTTGGGATGAAAATACCCATGTAGTAACTACAGTGGTGTTCCAGAATCCACCACTCCATCAATAACCTATGTAATCTCGATAGCCACAAGGCTACAGCTTAACCATAGGTCATCTTTTAGCAGGCCTCTCCCTCTACTATGATGGCCTGGCAGATATGGCCTCTTTTTGTATTAAATTTTTAGGAAGTCTTCAGAGCGCGCTTTATCTGACGGTGCCCTCATATTCACTCACCTGTGTTGGCAGCTCCCACCTCTGATGGTGGGGCTGCCGATCTCTCAACTCTAGGAGGGTCTTTTATTGGGAAACCCACCACTGACCTTAATTGGATAAGGTGGCTGCTTCTATGAAGCCACTGCTGCAGATCTGCGTTCTTGACCCAGAATTCATTGAGATCAGGACCATGGAACCAAATTCCAGCCAAATACTTCTGCGATTGTTCCTTTCTCTACATTTATTCAGAAATAGTGAAGCAGATTTTTGTCTCCTGCCGTAAATATAACAGGGGAGGGAAGTTAAAATCCTCATACTTGAAAATTAAAATCTGTTTAGCAAGCTTATTAGTGATCTGCCGTTTTCACTTACCAATGCTTTCTATCTCGGTAGTCCTTTGGATTTAATTTATTGGCAAGATCAAATTACCACTGGCAGCTTTCATTCACGCGTGCTGAGCGAGAACTATTAGAGGATATGGATGAAGATGGAGGCTGCCGCCTAAAGTGTTTACAGGTCATCAGAAAGCTGAAAGAAGACCATTGGTGCCCTGGAAATAAACCAGTCATCACATCCTATCATCTACAGGTAAGAAATATGCTCTGGTTTACCAAGCAGATCATTTATGATATTAGTATTACATTGTTATAACATTCTCACAGCTTTGTGATATGTCGATTTATAGAGCAAGCGAGGTTGAGCTATGGCTTCTAGACTAATTATTGCTAAGCCAATAATATTGGAATCACTGCTGAAAGTACATGGTAAAACCATCACAGCTATGAGATGGTCAAGATGTTTCTCTTCCTTTCTTCAAATCTTTAGTCACACCTGAGTCAGGATCAAGCACTAGGGATCTCAATTGGCCTTTGGTTCTGCGTCTACATTTTTTTTTGGCCAAAATTCAGTTATTAATCCTGTATTTATCACAATTTGCCTTTTAATCTTCATACAGTTTCCTTCATGCCATTGGAGAAAAAGATAGTGTCATGACTGCGATACCCTCTAAGACCTATATATATATACAGTATATCTTAAGTCATCACTCGTGTACTCATTGATCTATATTCGTTGTGAGTTAAACTTTGATTTAAAATTACCATACCTCTATAGTGTCCTACAGCCCTCTGAGAGGTCAACATGAAATTACTTCTACTTCTTGATCATCCTCCTACTTTAATCACTTCACCACTAATTGTTGTGCCTTCAGCTGCCAAAGCTAGAGGATCTTCAATTCTAATTTTCCACACCTCCCTATCTCTCTCTTCTAAGGCACTCATCAGAACTCATCTCTCTCTTTGAGGATGCTTTTGTCATCTATCCTAATATCTCATTATGTCACTCAGAGTCAAATGTTGTTTGGTAATGCCCCTGTGCAACATCTGGGATATTTTAGTACAATAAAGGTGATATTTAACTAAAAATTGTAGTTGATTGACATAAAATATTTGAGCCAAGCTACAATATGTTTGTTACAATATGAGGTTGATGATGTGTTACCTTTGTTTCTGTCATGAAAAATAATAATTGATTAAATAATTTGACATGTAATCCATAATTGTAGCCCATGTTTTTAAACAGGAGAGTCAGTAATAAATACTATCCCTGAAGTTTTAACACGGGTGAGTGAGTCTGATTAATCCCTCTCCAGTGTTGTGGATTGAACCTTCCGTTGGAGGTTTTTATGCCCTCAGTTCACTTCTCCATTACCCCACCCCCAATCCATATCGTAGGCTCCCAGACCAGACCAAAAGGGAGGCAAAAATCACATGCTGTTAAGTTCCACAACCTGTGGGAAAACCCGGATTTCAGGACTCTCAGATCCCAGTGCATCAGCAAATAAAAAAAATCACACTAGTGTTGCCAGAAGCAGTAATATAATTTTGCTCAGCTGATGGAGAGAATAGTTGAAGATAGCAACAGTTCCTCAATAGGTTGAATACAAAAACAGCAAACCATGTTCAAAGTGTGTTTGAAATCTCATTCATTAGCTGTATGCAATGATATAACTGCATTAATAAATTGCTAACTGCTTACTTTCCCTTTTCCCAGACACTTTTGTTTTGGACCTGTGAGAAATATCCACGCTCTAAAGATTGGAAAAATTTCCAGAAATGCTTTCTGCGGTTGGTAAAGAAACTTCAGAAATGTGTGTTACAGAGATACCTGCGACATTACTTTGTGAAGAGCTTTAACCTTCTTAAATATGCTAACACAAATGAACTGGATATTACATCTCAGAAAATTAATGATTTCTTAATAAATCCTGGTGTGTACTTCCATTAAATTCCACTGACATTTTAAATCAACTGCAAGCTCCAGTGTGTCAAATCTTACTGACTTTTCAAGTCTCCCCATCTTTTACCTGAATTAAATTGAGTTATAAGCTAATATTAATACAGTGAAAAGAACATGAGTAAAAATAACTATAAGCAAATATCATGCAAATATTTGTACCAGATTTCTTTCTGATATTTTAGTGGAAGTGGAAATCTCCATTAAAATTTGAGAGAAATGAATTTAAAAGGACCATGTTCTGAAGTCATACAATAAAATTGCTGATAGTGCTTGTATCCTATAATGTGCTGAAAGGTTTAATACCTTAAGATTTTTCTTGCTGTGGACTTTAATGTCTTGAAGAAGAATCAAATTTTTCAAATTAAATTTTTATTTGTTCCTGCCATATGATAGTCATTTTAAGAATGTGTTACTTGTAGTTATTATTTAGTGTTTAATAAATTGCTCAATTACAAAGGACTGCCAAATGTCATTGCACATTATAACTCAGCAAAATCTCACTAAATTAAAACATTAAAAACAAATGTTCCTTGCCCCTGATTTAGGATGTAATGGTAATTTCTTTTATCTTTACTAAAACATACATTTTCCCAATTAAACATCTTGTTTTAGCCTTTTGCTTAGTAAAGTATCTTGGGTGCTTAGAATTATTTAGTTGTTCTACTTTTAAGCTAATTTACAATGACAGTAAAATTAAACAAATAACAAATCTGCCTCTATGATAATTAATGATTAAGATAATGTGCCCAACAGTTCATAAAATACAACCTTTATGGATCAATATTTCATATAAAGTGGCTCCAGAATTCAACTCCCAGGTTGTGCTCAGCAGTAGTTTTATCACCTTTTCACCAAGTGTTTTCTGATTTAGAATGATTACTTAGACCCATCGTCTGATCAGGAATCATGTGTAGAATTGTCCCCATGGCATATAGCGTAAACATAACAGTAATCTGCTGTCTACTGTTCCCACTCTTGATGTCTTTGGAGAGAAATTGACATTTGCCTGGTAATTCTGTGGTACACAATTGTAGTAATATTCTCTGATACTGATCCCACTAGAATCTGCATTGTATATGAGAAGGTACCTAATTTTCATGGGTCTGGTGGGCCAGTGAGCCTCTATGGTCTCTATATCCTATGGAACCTGTCTGCTGTAATTGGCTAGATAAATTAGTGCTTATCTACAAAGGATATACACAGTCCCTTTCAAGGTCTAATTCCAGCTGAAGCGCCTCTTGCTGTGACATAAATTTTCAAAGTTTCTGTGTTTTTTTAGGAAACTCAAAGAAGCAAGAGAAACTGTTTTCCTTAAGCATGTATTGGCGGTGACAGTTATTCTTTAATAGTGTTTGTAAAAAATTCCTGATATTTGTCCAACAATGAGGAACAACAAGCTGTATCCAAGACAAGATGGAGAGTGATTAGGAGGGGAATCTGGTATAATTCTATTCCCATGACATTGCTTCTCATGTCCTTCTGGGTAATAAAGACCACTGGAAAGGAAGATATTTTGAAGTAACCTTGGTGAGTTAGTACATCCTGCAGACTGTTTGCACACCCACTGTGTGATGGTGATAGTTGTGGTGGATATTGAGTCCAATAGCAAGGGCATCAATAAAACAAACCACTTTCCTGGCTGGTGTCAAGGTTCCTGATGGTTATTATGGCTACACCCATCCAGATAAATGTTTGGATATCTCTTAAAATAACATTTATGGATATATGGTAATGTTGTGTAATAAAGTTCCCCTTAATATAAACAGAGACTTCATCATTTGTTTCTACAATAGTCTATTTAACTGCTAATATATTTACTGAACAAGGTCCTCCTGGATCCAAGGCCACCTTAACCCACCCCAGATTATAAGAGCGAACTTGAAATGGTTTATGACCCTTAAACAGAGCTGATAGTATCAGAATTAACTAAAAGCTTTCAGCACAACAGGGAAGATTTTTCTAAAATCTGCATCTTTCTGCAGTGAAAGAATGTTCAGTTTCACTCAACTTGTACTTTTTAAATTTTCTATCATTACTGTTATTTATTCTGGAATTAGCCTGCATGAACAGAAAAGAATGAAAGTTCCACAATTCACTTTTGATGTTTCCCAGTACATGGTTAAGCTGTAGCCAATTAGTATGTCATCCAGTTTTCAAAAGGTTCCTATGGTATGAAATACCAACAGCTTGTTTGGACTGAAACCAAAACATACTCTACTAATTAACACTTCAGTGTATTCTGTGATGAACTTTGATCATGAGATTTGCACAGTGGTGTGGTACACTCATGAGATCTTTCTTCATGTGGCTGGGCGAACTAAATAATTTGTTGAAGTGTTTATGTTGCCACAATAAGATAATTACTTTGTCATGGATAAGCAGCTCCACTGTATCTTAGAACATATACCATATTTGAAACATCATCAAATCCTCCTACAATTTTTAATCTTACATGATATGTGGGCATTGTTGGCATTTGTTTCCCAGCCCTAATCGCCCCTATGAAAGCTGGTGGTGAACCACCTTGAGCCATTGTACTCCATATGGTACAGGTATGCTTATACTGGTGTTAGGGAGTTCCAGATTTTCACTCCAACAATGTCTGTCATTATTTTAACACCTGCCATTAGAAAAATGTTAGAATCTATTATTAGGATGGAATAGCAGAAAATCAATCTGACGTCAGCATGGCTTCATGATGCTGAAGTTATGCCTGACAAATTTAGTAGAGGAGGTAACAAGCAATGTAGATAAAGGGACAACAATAAATGTAACACTTTTGGATTTACGAAAGGGGTTGAAAAAGCTACTGCACATAAGGCTACTTAATAAAATAAGAACGTATGTGTTGCAATTGGAAAATTGACATGGATAGTGGACAGATAGAAGACAGAGAGTTAAGATATGGGGACATTCTCAGGATGGCACTCTGTAACTAATGGAGTGCCAGAGGGATCGGTGATGGGGTCATAATGATTTACAATATATATTACTGACTTGTTTACATTGAAACATAGAAAATAGGTGCAGGAGTAGGCTATTCAGCCCTTCAAGCCTGCACCACCCATTCAATATAATCATGGCTGATCATGCAATTTCAGTATCCCATTCCCGCTTTGATGGCAATAAATGTGCTATCATCAAGTTTGTGATGATTGAAAAATAGAAAAGAAGGCAAGTAGTGAGGATGAAACAAAGATTCTATACAGGCAATATGGAAAAGTTACATGAGTGGGCAAAAACTTAGCAGGTGGAATACAATGTGGGAAAATGTGAGATTTTGCTCTTTGGCCAGAAGAATAGAAAAGCTGAATATCATGTAAATGGGGAAAGACTGCAGAAAGTTGCCGCATAGAGGAATTTGGAGATCCTTATGCATAAATCATAAGAACTAGAAAGTAAGCCCATTGGGTAATGGGGGAGGCAAATGGACTGTTGGCCTTTGTTTTTAAGGGGAATGGATTATAAAAATAGGAAGGTCTTGCCAAAACTCAGGAAGGCACGAGTCAGACTACACCTGGAATACTGTGAACAGTTTTCATCCCCTTGTCTTAAGGAAATACTGGCAAACCAGGGAAGGTTCACGAGGTTGATTCCAAGTATGGAGGGCTTTCCTTCTGAGGAGAGGTTGAGTAGGTTGGGCTTATACTCATTGACCAATCTGCTCAACCTCTCATCGTAAGATGATCCAATGCCAGTGTATTTTTCATGTCATGCCCATAGACCACAAGTGAATATAGTTATAAAATTTTAATTGTACAATCTGTATAAATCCTTTTTTTATGTCCTGTCATATTCACAGTAACAAACTTTGCTATTGGAGTGTTCACCAACCAATAACGTACCTATAAAATCTAAAAGTCTTTAACCAGTGATGAATCGTTGATTCTCACCTTATCATTCAGTTTGATATATCTTATATTGAGAGTTCAAGGCTGACTCCAGATACTTGTGTACAAAAAACTGACACTCCAGTGCAGTGCTGGGGGGCATGCTGTACTCTTGAAAGTGCCATTCTGGGAAACATTCTCAAGCAAGGCTTTGTCTACTGTTTGTCAGGTGTAAAAGATACCATGACACTATTCAGCAGAAACATCACTGGAGTTAGCTTCACCATCCTGGCCCAGACATATACCTGCTATGAACATCATGATAACAGGTTCTATGTTCATTACCAAATTGCTGTTTGTGCTATGTGCACATTGACTGCTCCATTTCCTACTTCATAATTGATGTTTCAAAAGTATATAATTTGATTTGTTGTTGTCACATGTACCTAAGTACAGTGAAAAGTTTTGTTTTGCACACAGTACAGGCAGATCATAGTGTGCTTAGACAGACCAAGGAATACACAGGAGGTGCACAAAGCAAGATCACCAGCAGCAAAATCAACATTATTTGACATTAGAGAAGTCCATTCAGCTGTCTAATAATGACAGGGAAGAAGCTGTTCTTGAACCTGTTGGTGCATGTGTTCAAGTATTTTGTTTGCTGTATGGTGACTTCCTAAAGTTCTGGAAGATGAAGATAATTGCAGGTCTTTCTTTATTTGTGCTATTACTTGTAAAGAACATGGTTAAAGCTGTAACAGTGTAAACAGCATCTTGAAAATGTTCCAAAAGAAGCTTCATTATGTTTGGCACTGCAGTCGGATCCTTTGTTTTGTCAATATTTTTTCACAGAGTGACATTGGAAGTCTTTCAAATATATTGGACAGTTTCCAACAGCGAAACTTGGTCACCTAAATGTGAGATGCCGTCGTGTAGATAAGAAATAATAAAGCTTCAGGCTTGGATGCAGACTCAGATAAAGAATGTGGCAGAGATTCGAAGAGTATACAACCTCATCTATTCTTTCAGGCTTTCTGTTATATCTGTTGTGGCGTCTGACAGTTTAGATGTCCTAATGCAATGGGAATATGAACATCAATCAACAGTTCGCAATAGTGTGTTTGGCAATGGATATGTATATGCATTGAACTTAAAACATGGAATTAAGCCATTCAAAACTCAACCAGAGACTGCTGGCATTTGTCCATCACATGACCAGATAGTCCTAATTATATTTAGTCTACTTGTTCTCGTGTCACATCAGTTCTTTCTGCTTAAATCTGCCTAGCTAATTCAGTCTGGAATGTTGATATAAAGAGTGGTTTCATTTCCACCTGCCTACTGGAGACAGTTAAAATTGGCAAGGAATCTGGATGCCAACCTTTACAGAAATGTCCCAGAAAGGATGATCCATTCCCTTGATGCTCTTATAGCAGCCCTTGTGCACCTTGCAGGTTATGTAACAATTAGTGTGCTCCCATAAATAACTAAGAAAACTTCTTTTGATTAAAGCAACAAACTTAAGTGTCCCATTCTTCAGTGTTGCAACTACCAA